CTGAAACTCCAGAGGTGGTCCTCTATAAATAGCTGACATTTGTTCTGCAAGAGCTAAAAGTAGGATAAAATATTACACTTTTAATGACATCACCTCCAGATTTTTATTAAATCCATATGACAGGACAGAACCTTGGGTAGTTCTTTATAAAAGTTGCTAAAATCATTCAAGTCTGCTTAACATGAGAAATATCTTCAGTTCAGCAGCTCTATACAGAAAAGTCAGTGTAAATATACTAATAATAAAATGTTGCTCAGGTATAGCATATCTGTAGGCCCACTTGAGCCTATTGTTGTAATGATCTCTCAAATGAAAATTTAACATCATAAATCTTAACATTTAAGACATACTGGTACTTTTTATTGAAGATTGATAATGTGTTGTTTTTCCAGCTGCTGCTGTTGTTGTTGGTGATATTTTTGTTGTTTTTGCTCTGTTAACAATCCGTTTTAGTAAATATCATAAGATCTGTTAGAATAAGAAGTGATATAATTTTTTTAAGTTATGATCAGATTTTATTTATAAAGCAGAAAATTGCAAATGATTTTACTGTTGAATGAGTAATAAATTTACTGTTGTGATAACTAATCATGCTTAAATGAGTAATTTCAAGAGGAGGAAATTTTGAAAAAATAATGTATCCTGTTTCCTCAGTGTACATCCTTTGATGAAACAGTATTAATAATTATGCTATTCCATAATATCTGGAAAAACAGTTGCTTAGATGAAAAAAAATCATGAGAAGAAGCTTCAATATTTAAAATAGCTAAAGTATGTGAATGAAAAGGCCATACTTTATGATGATGATCAGTGGTGTAGCTTCCTATAGGCACTGTAGGCACGTGCCTACACTTTTTCCTCAGAAATGAAAAATTAAATGATTACAAAAATGCAATAAAAATTTAAGGGTAAGGGCGGTAGATGTGTAGGTCCATATATTAGAAAATGACCTGTCACCTTATTTGAAAATATATCGAGTTTTATTTCATAACGAAAGTAGTGCCGTGTTAAAAAGTTGTTCTGTTGTATAACCAAGAAGTTTATGACAATATAAAAGTTTTTAAGTGCTTCGATTCAAAAAATAAATATAACAAGTATATGCATGACAATGATAGGCCATATCCAGATATCTGTAGTGCTAGCTTTATACAACTGACGATCTATTTGAAATGAAGCCTTGACATCTTGTCTTTTATATTCTCTTCCCTTCTTTAGGTATTCATGATTTAATTATGTGAACATTATTCTGTTCAAACTGCATCTACGTCAAATCTTGAGCACAAAACACAAAGTAGAATTGACACCAAGCAAGTTCATAGTCGATTTAAAATAAACGTGAAACGTAATCTGTGTTATTGCATACATTTTTTAAAATGTATTTTTATTATTTATAATATATACAAGTAATGTGTTCGAATACACACCAAAATCTGCATTAGTTAGCATAGTGGTGGAGAGTTTGCTTTTAAAGCTACTGGCATGCGAGCAGTTCCCGTACAGAAGCAGTACCCGTATTTTTCATTTAAACGCTTGATTTTTGCTTGTATTCTTCAAAAATTCATTTCAAATCAAGCAGATACATAAACAAGACAAAATCTAAGTGTCAGTTCGGCAGTACGTATAAAAAGTCTCATTTTAAATCACTTTCACCTGTGCGTCGTCAAAACGTGACCTTGTTTTCTCTGGGGGATTTCGTCCTTGCGCGCATGCGCAAAAATACTTACACGTGAGGCTTGTTAAAGGGTTTTCCACTAATACCACCTGTTTACAGATAAGTAGGCAATGTCATGAAAACTTGTTTAATTATCAGAATTTTGACCAATATTACTATATAAAATAATTTTATGGCTTTGATGCGTAAAATATCATGCATACAAGCATGTTATTGCATGTGAATGCGTTGGGGTAACGGTACCTGGTAATAGATACCCGCGTTTAGTCTACGCTCTATTTCCTGAATTACATCTATTTATCTCTTAGATAATGGTCTGTTCAACAATTGTAAATGAAAAATAGGTCCGATATAATAAAATTGTATAATTACAATTGGTTAGATTTTATGTACGGGAACTACTTCTCTTCATACAAAATAATGGATAATTTCGGTACCCCATTTGAGGCCTCATAAGTAAGGGTTATTCTATGTTTAGAACATGATGGAATTTCCATGATTTGTGTGACGAGCCGAATATTGATGTGTAAAATTCAAATTTTGGTGAGTGAGCGTAATAAAAAATAATGTTTAAGTAACTATGATTTTTGTACGGGAACTGCTCGCATGCCAGTAGCGATTCAATTCTTTTTTTTTTTAAATTTAAACTTAGTTGAAACTTTATTTAATCATTAAATTGCATATAAAGTAACATTTACAAACATTTCCCAACAATGTAATTCAGACAAGTAAAACATTACCTCACATGCTAAAGTAATTTTCAAAATAAAGATACATAGATGTAAGCTCTTTGAATTAACAACGAAAAATTAGAGAATAATTGATTGTTGAATTATCATGCACTAAAGAGAGACTTAGCTAGGTAACTTATGGAGAAATATTAGAAGAAAGGAAAAATGTAAAGAAAAACATAATTGAAAATATCGGATTTTTTAGTTCTTAAAATCAACATGTAAATAAATATGAGCGTCCTGACATGCCAAGTTCATTCACACTGATAGTAATTCTTACAGTTGTGGAATAGATTTTTGAACATTCTGTAACTACTTCGCTCGAAATAGTTCATTCAAATTACAAAAATGTTTCATAATAAAAGTACTTCGGAATTCTATTTCTTACATTACTGCAGGTAACGTACTTATTGAATTACTTTATTGAAAAAATGTAACCAAAATGCAGCAAAGTTATGAATTCTCTTCCTTCAGAACATGCCTTAACATACCCCAGAATGCAGCTAATGCACCCCCCTAACACAAGTGCCTTCACATTGATTTCTTTCAAGCTACGCCCCTGATGATGATGATATTTTCACTTGTTTCATATCTTTAAAGTATAAATTTTATAGAGGAGACAGGGTTAATATAAGTATTTTATTTAATGTGCCAAAACAGCATATGTGAGAATACACCATTTTCTGTTTTCATATTGATTTGCCAATGACTGATATTAAGATGTATTGATAGTTTACACATGTTGCAACTGAATAATAAAAACATTTAAACGTTTTAAAAATATGCAGCCTGGATAAAAAATTACAACCTAATGTGACCTAATTTCATGCTTGCCTCTTTAGCTTTAAAGGGAATATACTAAAAATCTGCATGTATTTTGGAAATATTCTTTTTCAAAATTTATACAACAGACAGCAGATATATTGCTTTATACACTAATAAGGGGGAAAAAAGGAGGGAAACTTTATTATGTTAACATCCTAGCACATTGTATGGAAATCAGAAAATTGTTGTCAGATCCTTTGGGGGATTAATGAAATTGTTTCTTTGAACTTTTGTCTGTCTGCCTGTCATTACATTCCCATCAGGAATTAGGCCATTTAATTCATTTCTCTTGATCAATTCTAACACAGCATTTTTCTGATAAAGTTTCAGGTCTTTCAATGCTTATCATTTAAAAATTGTTTGAGTGGTTGTTGTTATTTTCAAAATCTCAAAAAAGGTAATAATATACATGCAGGGATGTTAAACTCACCAGGCTAGAGTTCACAATAGCAGGTGGCAGCTGTAAAAAGTTGACCCCCATACTTCACTACAGTGTTGTTATATTTTTCTGGTCCTTTTGGATAATTGATTCCAGCAATTTCTAAAATGTTGAAAATTGAGTACAGCTATGCTATGTAAGGGGCGTTATATATAAAACCAACTAAAGTTATTAATAAACATTAATCCAATAGAGTTATAAATAAACAATCTGACTCGGGAAGCTGGCTGTTGTTATAGAGTGTCACTTTGAAACTAGTTGAGAACAACACAATTCATTTTGATTTGAATCTTAACTCTTAATGTTACTTTTATATTGTGGAATTTGAAGCTGAAGATGTCCATTTTTTCTATCTTTCCTTGTTGCTTAAAATGTTTTTTTTTCAGCTGTATTAAAGAGACATCAACAATTCTACATCAAAAACAACAATTTTTTGTAAATAAAGGCCTCCAGCCCAAAATACACAATACAACCAAAGCAGATATACATGTTTAGCTGTGTCTACAATACATGTTGTTATCTATGACATGTTTTTCTATTTACACAAATGTATATTAGTTATCAATAATTTTCATAATTCCCTTTAAAAAAGAGCAATATTGTTAATGTTGTCTTCATTATGAGTTTTAATCATGTTACAAAAATTATAAAAGTGTACCATGGAGAATTATAATGTTGTCATTATAGGGAAAATCTGTTACAATTAAAAAATAAATGAATTTTGTCTTCAATAAAAGAATTGTAAGCAAATAGCATTTTGTAAACAGTCATTTAAGTGTTTTATTTCATCTAAGCATTTCTGATACCGGTATATAATTTCCATAAAATATGTTGATTGAGACACTTCTGCTAGAAATATACTTAATAATTTAATTGCTATGTTGTTTTTACTCCTTTTAAATGGAGATCAGAATATTAAATTTGAATGAGTTATCTCCCCAAAGAGTTTGTAGATAGGATTTGAATAAAATAATGATTTCCAGTTTAAATTATTGAAAGGACCATGTGTAATAAGGAATATCATATTATGAAATTTATGAAATAGATATAATTATGAAATAGATTCTATATTATTCATGAAATAGATTCTATATTATTTATGAAATAGATTCTACCTTTATTTATGGTGAAGTTAGTTGAGTTTATGTTTTATATAAATATAACATACTTATCTTAAAATCTAAGTACATTTTTCTGAAGTTTGATTTTCTTGAAATATTTTGTCATTGGTTCATTTTCTGTGCCCTTTTTCAGAGGTATTTGTCTGGTTCCAATAAGTCTTCTTCTCTGATAAGGAGAATAAGAAAACTTAAAATATATTGTTCAATTTCAGATTTCACAATGATGTAGAAAGTCTGTCATTTGACTAACAATAAGATAACACGGTAAGTTATTTGCATTGTTTTAACTGTTTATATTACCTGTAACCAATGAACCTCTAGTTTTTACTTGCTGAACTGAGGTGTTTTTTTGACATGATAGGATTAGAAATTATTTTTTGAGATTAATGCTCCATTTTTTTATGTAGGTCCAGACTTGTAACTTGTGTGCAAAATTTCAGATCATTCACTTGCTACATTTTCAAAAAAAATATTTTAGTTGTAAAAAGTGACCCAAAATTGACAAAATTCACTCAAGTCAAGCTACGAATATCACAGAATAATATGATTTTAATTTATTTCTGTGTATATTTTTAAATTTTCTTTTGCATATCTGTCTGTTTTAAGTACCCCATCTAATTTATGTAAGAAATTCAAATTTTTGATTTTTTTAGGCTTTTGGACCTCAGTGGTGTTCCTTTAATTTCAGATTTATTTGTTACAGGGATAAATTATGTCAGGTTTGGGTAACTCTTTACAATTGGCTGCTACATTGAGATTAAAGTTAAGAAGTTTGACATCACTAAAAATTCAAGGATTTAACTAAATACAGTGTTGGAGCAATAGCTCTAGACACTTCCAGAATTTTGATCACAAAGCAGAAAAACATTCAATTTGCTTTTTAGCCGATTCTTACATTTTTTTATTCGTTATCATATATAAACTGGTATGAAATATGGTATTTAGTCTGATGCTTCAACACTTTTTAAAGTTTCACTCATAATTAAATCACTGATACAACAGACATTGGCTAAATCCAAAGTGAGGCAGTTGTATTATACAAATTTAACATGAAGGAGTGAAGGAGTTAATATAGAAGCTAAACACTGGTATTGATTCCAGTATTATTCCACAGAGATCACATGATGATTCCTGACATTACACTAGAAAATCTCAGTTTGACACCCTAACATTTGATCAGAATTCATTGTGGGATAATGTAATAGAAATAATGTTTTATAATTCCTCCAAGGATATTGTTAATTGATTTGTATCTGGACAATATTTTTTGGGGTGTTTTGTATGAATATTGATCACAATTTCTAGATTTTTTGAAACCTCATCTGAGCATGTTAACTAAAGGAGTTTAAGTGTCTTCCAAAAAGTTTTGTTTGGAAAAAGAAAAAAAAGAAAAGAATTAAACCTTTAATTACATACATTGTTTACAAAAAAGTCATATTCCTTTTCAGTAATTTTTCACAACGTTAAATTAAATGTCTTGCCAGCTGTAATTTTTATCCAGACTTTTTCTCAGGAAATAATATAAATTATGAAATAATAATTATTTGTTCTGCTTCATTGACTCCTAAAGAAAAACACTTAAATGACTATTTTATACATGAAGAAAATAATTCATATGATTTTGGAATTTTGTTAGTCAACATGCAATTGATTAAATGACTTGACTTGTTAACAAACATGATCAGTAAATTATGACACTTTTTCATGATGCCTTTCAGATAAAGTTGTTTCCTGCTAATTGAAATTTCACTTCACAAATACTGAAAAACAGATATAATCTATTTAGATAAAGAAGGAAGGAAATTGATTGGTTAATAGAGATAAAGAAATATGGAGGAAAACAATGTTGAGATTGCAATAGTTAATTGTAGTTAAATTCTTCTCAACCACATAAAGAGCTTCACTAACAAGAGTTAATGTGCATATTAGCAGAATGTTCAAGTTAAATTAATTTTAAACAAAGTTTTGTGCCTTTTATGTCTTTCTGGCTTTAATTTAAGTACAGACTATTTCTCAGCAATCACATACTAGAATTCATTGAAATAATCAAGACAACACATTTGTAACTAGTTTTGACTTGAATGTCTTGTGCCTGATGATGCAATGATATGAGTGGACTTATATGAGAAACATGGTGGATGAATTATAGTTACCTCATTAAACAATTGCTTCAAATTCTATAAAAGTTGCCAGTAATCCTTATACCACTCACATCATACAAGGTTGTTAACTTATACAACTTTCAAAATTCATTCCACGTTTAAATTGTTACATTTTAACTCTTTAATAAAAAAAATAATTTAATTTATTGATGTTTATAACACTGACAAACTATGCTTCAAGAAATATCTCCCTTTTGAACTTGTTTGACATTTGAGTTTTTTTCTTGGTATTTTAAAGCAATTATTTGTTATAATTCTTGATAAGTTGATTTTTTTATCAAGTAGTAAAAAGGTTGAGAATGCGGTCTATTCTGACAGCTTTTGTTAAAATTAAAATGTTGGAATGAAATTAAAATATGGGAATACAATAAGATGTCCTCAATAGGAAATATGGAGGCAATGTATCATTTTATTTTAAATGAAAGATAATTTAATTTAGTCAAAAACACAATGATATATTCAGGGAGCATTATAACTTTATTGTTATAATATAGATGAGCAGGTGGGGATATTTTATTACCCAGTAGCTTATTGTTATACTCTAATCAACGCTCCTTTATGCACAAAAGCTTTCTCGTAAAACCTGATTAAAATGGAACTTTAAAGTGTTGTAAGATGAGTAAATGAAACAGGCATTGTGCTTTTTAATTTGTTGTTGATGGAATTGTTGGTGTATAAATCAGTGTTTAATATGTGGCTCATTGTGGCTGTGTACTTGAATACACCATTGACGTCTATCAACTTGCTGGTCAGTCACCTTGCACTAGATATATTGTAAGCCCGGGGTTCTATGATATCACGGTACTTAACGTTTTTCGGAAAATATTCAAATATAGTTATAATATATGAATGAGATTTGTTTTTTATTTAATAAGTGAACTTTTTCCAAAACTGTTTGTCAAAATATTATTTCAAAAGATCTAATTAAAAGTCATTTTTTAAACTATTTCCAATGTCAGCCATTTTGGGTAATTTCAGAGGAGGTTCCTATGGTATCACGGTAATCCGCAAAAATGCAAGCATGGAAGGAAAGATGGTTTATAATCTTCAAGTTTAGTTGAAAAAAACTTCCAATAGTTTACTTACTATAATATTCAAACTATATGAACAGACAATATGTCAGTAGATATGTGATTATAACATATTTTTATTGACTGTGTAAAAACAATTAAGAGAAATAGTAGTTAAACATGAAGATTTTATGAAATAGTTTTCTGCCCACAAATACTTTCATTATTCACAAAATTAAATTTTATTGGTAGATGAAATGAATTTAGTGGTCCAGTTTAAAAAATATTAGCATCATCATGCGTTGTTTTTACTGACTATCACAGAAAATGTAAATACTGTGATATCATAGAACCCACGATATCATAGGAATCGAGTATAAGTGAAATTTTGTTCTATGTCCTTCAAACAGAATTCTTATCTTAAATTCAGCTTGTCCATTTTTGTGTCATCTCTACAGAATAAGGCCGATATAAACGGATCACTTCTCTGTTGTCTATCTGGGTTAATAAGGAGGAGAAGGGGATCAAATAACTGTAAACAGACTAAAAGAGAACAATAGAGTTCATTATATGACAATAGAATTAAAAAAAGAAATGGCCCCTTTGTCCATTTAAATGGGACGTCCATCTGTCTGTCCGTCTGTCACAAAACTTATCCGGACTACTAATCACAAACTACTGGTGCAATCTCATCCAAACATTATAGGAATGATCTGTACAGTCTAGTTGTTCATATCATTGGCATTTTCTGGTTCAATGGTTTTTGTAAGAGCAATATTGCCCTTCAATGATTTTTAGCTCACCTGTCACAAAGTGACAGGGTGAGCTTTTGTGATCGCTTTTCGTCCGGCGTCCGTCCGTCGTCCGTCCGTAAACTTTTGCTTTAAATGACATCTCCTCATAAACCACTGAGCCAATTTCATCCAAACTTCACAGGAATGTTCCTTTGGTGATCACCTTTAAAAATTGTTCAAAGAATTTAATTCCATGCAGAACTCTGGTTGCCATGGCAACCGAAAGAAAAATCTTTAAATATCTTCTTTTAAACAACCCTAAGAGCTAGAGCTTAGATATTTGGCATGAAACATCTTCTTGTGAGTGTCTACCAAGTTTGTTCAAATAAAAGCCCTGGGGTCAAAATTGGCCCCGCCCCAGGGGGTTATTGATTTTCCCTATATGCATATAGTAAAACCTTAAAAAATCTTCTTTTAAAGAACCCAAAGAGCTAGAGCTAAGATATTTGGCAAGAAACATCTTCTAGAGAGTGTCTACCAAGTTTGTTCAAATAAAAGCCCTGGGGTCAAAATTGGCCCCGCCCAGGGGGGTCATTGATTTTCCCTATATGCATATAGTAAAAACTTAAAAAATCTGCTTTTAAAGAACCGTAAGAGCTAGAGCTTAGATATTTAGCATGAAACATCTTCTAGTGAATGTCTACCAAGTTTGTTCAAATAAAAGCCCTGGGGTCAAAATTGGCCCCGCCCCAGGGGGTCATTGATTTTCCCTATATGCATATAGTAAAAACTTAAAAAATCTTCTTTTAAAGAACCCAAAGAGCTAGAGCTAAGATATTAAGCATGAAACATCTTCTAGTGAGTGTCTACCAAGTTTGTTCAAATTAAAGCCCTGTGGTCAAAATTGGCCCCACCCCGGGGGGTCATTGATTTTCCCTATATGCATATAGTAAAAACTTAAAAAATCTTCTTTTAAAGAACCATAAGAGCTAGAGCTTAGATATTTGGCATGAAACATCTTCTAGTGAATGTCTACCAAGTTTGTTCAAATAAAAGCCCTGGGGTCAAAATTGACCCCACCCCAGGGGGTCATAGATTTTCCCTATATGCATATAGTAAAAACTTAAAAAATCTTCTTTTAAAGAACCGTAAGAGCTAGAGCTAAGATATTTAGCATGAAACATATTCTAATGGATGTCTACCAAGTTTGTTCAAATAAAAGCCCTGGGGTCAAAATTGACCCCGACGCAGGGGGTCATTGATTTTCCCTATATGCATATAGTAAAAACTTAAAAAATCTTCTTTTAAAGAACTCAAAGAGCTAGAGCTAAGATATTTAGCATGAAACATGTTCTAAT